TAATTTAAGTAATTTATTTTGAGTTACTTATTACAAAATTTTTATAATTGTACTTTTTTATTGAATCAAGTAGAATACGTTTTAATATTAATTTTTTTATTTTTTTTTATTTGCACATACCAATTTTTAAAATGTTACCTCGAAATAACTCTAAAGTACTTTAAATACGTTTAACAGTTAATAAATATTTTTAAATCTATGGAATAATTTTAAAACCTAACAAACCCCTGTAAAATAATTATTTAAGTTAAAAATCTAAAACTAAAAGAAAGTATTTTTGTTTAATTTTATCAACAACTTTTCTATTGCTGAATAATTTTATTAAAATGTTAGCTTAAAAAGATTTAAACTTTTTTTTTAATCTGAATTTTTTGTACTTGTAAATAATGAGCATATTTAATTTTTTTGTAATTCAAAACTGCGTGCGGTTTTTAAAATACTTTATTAAATGTTAAAATAATCGTAAATTACTTCGTTGAAATTCCGCTCAAAAATATACTCAAACAAAAATTTTTTTGCTCGACGCAAATAGCCCTAGCTAAACGCAAAATCGCTCTTGGACGACGTAAAACTCACATCGCCCAACGCTTTATCACAAGGCCTGATATATATATGTGTATTTATATTTATATATATATATATATGTATATATATATATATATATATATATATATATATATATATATATATATATATATATATATATATATATATATATATATATATATAACAGGAGTGCAAAAGGTATAAAACAATTATAACTTGTAAATGCAATAAACAGCTACTTAGTTTAGTTTTTTACTCTATATAACTATTAAACAAGTTTTTTTTTAACTTGTGAAATTAACATTTGAAATTATTAAAAAAAATTTAAGTCAAAAGATTTCTCTATTATACTCTTATTTCTCAAAAGTTTAAATTATAAAGTAAGTTATATTAGTAAATTATAAAGTGTGTTAAATTATAAAGTAACTCAACTTGTTTCTCCACACAGTGGCCTTGTTTGTCAAGGTTTGTGTTTCGGAGTTAAAGAGTTGAGAGAGGGTTATAACCACAATTAAGTAGCCTCCTCATCTTTAGTGGCCTTCTTGGCCTTAGGGAGGTAAATAAACATTTTTTTAAAAAAGTGTTTCTTTTAAAAAATCATAGTCCATTCATATCTTCCAGGTGGGACCCCTGGCTCAATTCACTATATCTATTTTAGAATGACATTTTACTGCTCTTGCATTAGTAATTGTTATATGAGCCTTTTGATGATGAATGTATTATTTTTTACTAAATTCACACATGAAGTAAGGAGTTCTTAATTAACAAATTTAAATTACCCATATCAAAAACTTTCAAAAAATGCTTTAAAATGACTCTCTTAAAATGAGTTTCTCTACAGTACTAAGTGCATCTAACCATTTGTGCTGTTTAAAAAACACTAAAAACATAGTTTTAATTTTTTTTCAGACAATTACAAACCAAATATCATATCAAATCTAATGTTAAACAAATTTATCCAAAAAAAAAGATGACAAACAACCATAATTTAAAGATTAATAATTTAATAATTAAAGATTATTAATAATTTAAAGATTAAAATGTTTTTTATTATGTATTACTTTTTATGAATGTTTGTTAAAAAAAATGTGTTTAAACAAAGCATGAAATGGTTAAAAAACAGTTAAATTATCTTTTTTTTAAATGTGTAATTATTTATTAGCATGTGGAATAAAATAACTTTATATCGAAACTTATTATTTTTAAATAACAATAAATCAATAAAAACACGCTATTATTTAAATTAAATGTGCATATTAAATAATCATTTCAAGTTGTTACTTTTTTTTAAATCATTAGCAAAGATAAAAGATTTGAATTTTTTTATTCCAAACGTAATTAAAAACTTGATTTAAATAATCTTAGAATTTTAGTTTTTAAAACTTTAAGTTGAGTTATATTTTTAGTTTTTGTGCTTTAGTTGAAGTTCTTGTTATTTTTTCTTTTGGTAAAATTTTTTTTCTCCCTTCAAATAATGAAATTTTTAAAAGTTTATTTAGCTAGGTCTAGATAAATTTTTTCAAGGCATTTTTGAAATGTCGTCAAACAAAATATTATTTGCGTCGTCATATAAGACTGTAAATAGCATCGATGTTGGAAAAATATATATATATTTTTATTATTCTTTATTTTCTAAAACAATTGCATATTTGAAAATTTAAAATCAATGTAAAATAAGCTAAACAGTTTTAAACAGTATAAATTAGTATTATTTAATAAAAATCAAACAGAACATTGGAATTGTATTTTTAAGAAAATTTTAAAAACATATATGTATGTTTTTAAAAAGTTGTTCAAGTGTATTTGTAATTTAAGAAAAGAAAACTTTTATGATAAAACAACTTAGATCATTGAAAATAAATAAACCACAATATACTACCTTAGAATCTCCGCCACATTTATCTGGGCCAAACATAATGGTGTATGGTGTTTTGTCATTAAAAACTTTTAGATTAAGCGATGGAGATTCTGATAAAAGCTTTATATAAGCCCCACCACACTCATGAGTGTTTTGGAAACGAACTTCATACCTAAAATAAAACTTTGTCACAAAAAAAAGTATTGATCTTAAGGTGATTGTGTTTATTTTAGCATTAAAAAAATATATACATTTCCAAAAGTTTTTCTTCTTAACTCAGGTGATTTAAATTTGTATTTCACAACTATAACAGCAAAGAACCTTAATGACTTTACAGGAAAAAATGAATCTATATTGAGCTATTTTACTATTAATATTAACAAGCACTGTTTAATGGATAAATTTTATCATCAGACTCTATTCAAAAATAATCTTCTTTCAGATGTATGTGCTCCACTAAAGTAACTGGTTTTTATGTTCAATTGTAAATGATAAATATTAATGTAACAAGTATATCAGGAAATACTTTAAGCTTAGTACCTGTATATACCTGAATACATTTAAGTTTTTTTTAAATAGGCAAGACTTATTTATGTATTGCGAAAAAAAAATTTCGAAATACTAAATTTAATAACCACCCTAAAAAAATGAAACTAAAAAAACAGTATTCAAATTATTTAAATTATAAATTTATTTTAATTTTTTTTTCTATTTAAATTTATTTTAACTTCCTATTATGTTAGTTTTGCTTTCTTTGTTTTTGGAACTCAGATTTCTGCAAAGTATTGAAATGCTTAATATAATAAACCTTGCAAACCGCATGCATCTCCTGGGTATAATAGTGTTACTGTCAAAAGTTGATGTAAATTTTTTATTTATAAAATGTTGCAATGTGCAGTTTTTTAAATGCCTATGCTGAGTATATAAAAATATCTATGTGTACAGAGGTGTACATGATTTCTGGGTAAGCCTGCTTTCCTATAAGAAGATATTATATTATTTTTAACTACTCTAAATAAGTCTTGCCTATTTAGAAAAACTTGAATGCATTCAGGTATATACAGGTACTAAGCTGAAATTATTTCCTGATATTATAATTAGTAATGACTTGTTTTATATGTCATCTACAATAGTATTTTATAAAAAGCTTACATAATTTTGATATTAAATAATAAAATTTTTTTAAAACATACCAAAATATGAAAAAAGTTAAAAATCTATGTGTTTTCATAAGACATAAGAATTTAAATAATCATTTAACTTACTGAACAATCAATGGTTTATTTTCAAACTTAAATGGTTTGTCTAACATAGTAGATATTGCAGCATGTTTGGCTTCAGACTAATAAATAAAAATTACATAAGCAAAAAAATGTAAAAAACAACATACTATAAAATTATAATATATAAAAAATATATATATAAGTTTCAGCAGCACAGACAACTTTGTGTGTGCAAACAGTTATAACTTTTATAATTCATTCTTTCTTCAAACAACATAAGTAATCCCAAATTTTTATTGAATTAAAAAAGCATCAAGAAAATAGAGTGGATATTCAAATAATATTTAAAACTTATCAAGAAATTTAAACAACTTTATAAAAACGTACTGTATAAAAATGTTTTAAAACATTACTAATGGTCCCTAAAAATGTTTGAACAAAGAATGAGCTTTAAAAGTTATAAGTGCTTTAGAAAAGTAATAACATTATTATAGTAGATTGACTTTTATAATGCAGTTAGTGACTAGAGTGTTATTACTTATGTAGTCATAAGCTTATATTTTTTATAACGTTTTCGCTAGGAAACTGATAATAATTTGCTTATTTAAAACAAAGTACACGGCTTTGAATTAACTAAAATTTTGAAGATTTCATTTTAGAAAAAAACTTATGGATATACTTGAAGAATTATTGGAATTGAAAGAATTATTGAAACTACAGACCAAGGAGAGTCTAACAGAAGCTTTGGAAAGGGTTTTAAAAGACAAAACTCAGATTTTAAAAACACAAAGATTGGACCTGTGAACAATGAGCTAAAGTTATTTGGAGCTACAAGTCTCTTTTTGTTTTGTTTTATAATAGTTGATGTTATTGTTGGAAAGTTCAACCCTCAAAGATGTAAGGCACTCATTAAATATGACAAAAAGATGAATGTTTGTTTAGTGCACACTAAGTTTGAAAACTTTACCGGGTTATAGAAGAACTGTTCCCTAATTATTCCCAAGTATAGAAGAACTGTTCCCTAATTATAACTACATCTTTTAAAAAAATAACGATTGTAAATGTACAGTACGATTGAATAAAAAATTTATAGAATCTAAATTAATACCATTTATGTCTTGACCAGGACAGTCTCCTTATTTAAATCCAATAGAAAAACTTTAGATAGAAAATTGCAAGATGTAGGGGTGTATTATTATTATATTTAATCAGGGTGTATTATTATTATATTGGATTAAGGTGTATTATTATTATGTTGGATAAAAATTCCAAGTGTAGGGCAAAAATTAAGGTTAACTGTTTCAAATTCTTTTTGTTGGTTAGAATGCTTTGCCAAACGGCTTATTAATAAAAAATTACTACTATTATATGAGTTTAGGACATTTTTTTGCATCCCCCCCCTCTTGTATGTGTGTATCTATATATATATATATATATATATATATATATATATATATATATATATATATATATATATATATATATATATATATATATATATATATATATATATATATCTTTTTTGTTTTAAATTTTATGGCATGTGTGATTTGAAATGAAATAAAAACAGTGAAAAGAATGCTATTAATAAATACTAGATAAAATAATTTTAGAAACCAGCATAAACATTTAATACTAGATAAAATAATTGAAATAAAAACGTCAAAACATAAAAAGCATTTCATATAAATATTAAACAAAATAAATAAAATAAAAACAATAAGAAAAACATTTTATTTAAATTCTAAGTAAATGAATTAAAAAAAAAAAATTGGCAAAACGAACATTTATATAAATTCTAGATCAAATAATTAAAATAAAAACAGCAAACTATTTGATGAACAAAAAATGATGTGATTTTAAACAAATACTAATTTATTTTTGGCAAGTGGTTTTTTGAGCGTTCACTAAAGTTTTTGCTGGCATGCGCAAAAAGACTTGAGATTTTTTTATTACCACTCAGACAAACTGGAGGTCTGAAAACTTCAGCATTTATGTAGTTCAGATAAATGTGTGTTAAAATTGCTTCAAGGGCAGACAATTATAGCATCTATGGGGCCGGGGCACCAGAGTTAATGTCCCACTTTCATTTCCTCAAAAAAAATTTTTTTTTTTTACAATTTTAAAGATAACATTGAAAATACTTTCTTCAGAAATTTTTTTAGCTTATACTTGATCCATTTTATTTAATTATTTACAAAATAAAATACAAAACCTGTATAATAAAATACAACACCTGTTGTTACAGGTGCATCAATGATACAAATTGTGTTGGTTATTAAAACCTAACACTTGTCTGCTCTAGATGGCAAGAAAAGTTTGTAATTATATCTGAAAAAACTATATATGAAACTACATCTGGTTAAAATAATACATTATTATTTAATAATTTTTTCCGGATGCAACTATATCTGAAAAAAAACCATATATGTAACTACATCTGGTCAACAAAATCCATTATAATTTATTTTATAAGTCTTGTAGTTATTCTTATCATAATTGAAAAGATGTGACTAAATTTGTAAAATTTCCAGATGTAGCTGCACAGATGTTGTTATACTTCGATTAAAAAGATGTAACTACATCTATAGTAATCATATACTTTATACACAGATGATATTAGACATCAATGAAATTACAGATATTGTTGGACAGATGTTATTATACTTCAGTGTATTTACAGATGTTGTTGGACAGATGTAGTTGTACATTATTATATTTACAGATGTAGTTATACATTATTATATTTACAAATGTTGTTGGACAGATGTTATCAAAAACTGATGTTGTTACCCTGACCCAACTTTTTTTGATTCAATAAGTTTAAAATTATAGAATGTAAGTTTCTGTTAAAACCATTATTTTAAAAGGATGACTGTTTTTATCTGTATACTTGCTATATACTTGATTAAAATTCTTATAAAATTGAACTTTCTTAAAATATTTTTAAAAAGATAATTGAATATAGAAAGATCAAAAAATGAATGGAACAAGTAAAAACCAAAAAAATGTTAAAAAAAAATTTTCAAAGTTATCTTTACTTGGTTAAAATCTAAACAAAATTTTTTTTGAGAAAATAAATGGGTCATGGTGCCCAGGCCCCATAGATCTTCTGGTCAAAATAATTTTAACACATGTTCATCAGGACTACACAAATGCTGAAGTTTTAAGTTAACTTGTTTGTCTGGAAAGTAGTGAAAAATCACTCATTACAAATTAAAAACATTTATCAGGGATAAAAAAATATATAAAAAGTCTAAAACAATGGCAAACCATTATTCATATACATGTAAACTGATGAGCTAGTGAACCTTTTTTGGTTAGTGAGTATAAACATATTTTAAATAACAAATTAATCTCTATGTAAGTTATTTTATATAAGAATGAATGATTATATAAGACATACACCTTAAAAAGATTATGATGCAAATCATCAGATATTTAAAAAAAAATTTAGCTAATTAAAACTAAATGCTTATGGACTAATTAAGGCATGTAAATTAAACATACACATAACATAAAAAAAACTTACAACTAAAACAAGACTATTATCACCAAGCATAGGATTTTCCTTTGGCTCTTTAATGGCCCATACACCTTTTAACAAAATATATATTAAAATAAAAACATCTCATTTCGAAAAGTTCTTCGTAAGAAAAAAGCATTTTTTTTTTAATTTAAATAAAACAGATCATCCAGGTCATATTTTAAAAATCTAAAAAACTATTTGGGTAAAATATCCAAAAAAAAATCCAGAATATAGTTTCTCTTATTTTCCTTTTAGCTGAGATGTTTCAAATTTTTTCCAACCTTTTTTAATTTTTGTTTGAGTGATTAGTGAAAAAGCTTAAAAAACAAATATATTACAAAAATATATACATAAACTTTTATGTATGAAAAATATTTTGGATATCCATAAAAACTAAAAGTTAAGAATAATATCTGGAATTCCGGAAATATCCATAAAAGATAATCCCTGAGAAAAACACTTGTGATACATTTTTTAATTTTTCTAAAACTTAATTCCTTTTATGACATGTACAAAATCTTCCTCATAACCAAATTCTTTGGTTGATTTAGGTAAAAATTATTAGCAAACCTCAATAACATGTTGTAAAGAAGCAGAAAATCAATTTATGTAAGAGCTATCTAGAAAGGATTTATTAGGAAAAATATCATTTTATAAATATCTTTTTTATTTTTTTAGTTTTCTAATACAAATCATTTTTGAATAAAATTTTTAGGGCTTATTTATCTGTGTATATGTTAGTTTGATGAACTAGAATCTAAACCTAATGTTGTACAAACATTATATCGAAATTAAAAAAAAAAATTACGACAGGTAATTAAAAATTTCGGCAGGCGACTAACAACTAAATTACTACTTTTAGTCGCCCTTCTTGCCAACCAACCAATAACAGGTCTGTACACCACTGAACTTTTTAATATCTACACACATAAAATGTGTACTTGTCATAATGGATTAAAAAAAAAAGAATTAAAGTTTTTAATATACTATTTTATATACCCTGCATACATACTAGAGTTCATGAAAAATTTCAACTCTTTGTTTTATCAAAATGTTTTAAGCAAATTTTTGCTGATTCAGGAAAAATGTTTTTTTTTTTTTTTACAATATAAATTTCTGTGTTGAAAACTAAAGTAAGTTTGACAACAAATAGCTTTTTTTTTTACTTACTTTTTAACTAAAAAAAATCAAATTTTCATCAAACAAAGGAAACTTAAACTAACAGTGTATTAAAAGCAAATGTAATCATCAAAGTCTTTTATTCAGGTGATATCTTTTTTTTTCACTTACCATTATACTTGCTTATTGCTTCATCAACTCCATCTTTCTTTGCTTCAGATTTTTTCCATCTGTATAAAAAATTGCAAAATTAACCAATACATTTTAGATCAACTTAAAATTAAAAAAACTCAATTACCTTGAATTAAACTCAGACTCATCATGAAATGCTTCTGAAAAATGGGCAGCACCATCAACACTTGGCTTCACATAATGCAACACCTATAAATAACATTTAAAAATTATGTTAAAAATAATTAATTCCTTTTAAAAAATTAATTAAAATTTTTTCTTAACACCCATATATTTTTACAGCTAATTAATGCATAAGAACTTTATGCTAAATAAAGAGCATTTTAATATATTAAATTACAATAACACATTAATCAAGACATAAATTTGGTGATTGCGAAAAGTGATATCTGAAAATACTTTTTTTAAATTCTCAGTTTATTAAAAATGGTGAACACTGTTTTTATGGAAAGGTCTAATTAATTTAAATTTATCATATAGCAAAAATTTATGAAAAAACAAAACAATAAAAATTACTGCAAAAGTATTAATTCAAAACTTTAAAAATAGTAATAAAAAATTAACAACTCAAAATTTAGAAAATTTTAACTTATTGTTTAAACACCAGTCAAGTATCATAAATAAAAAAATTTTTTTTAAACAATTACGATACCCAAAATTTTAATTGAAATAAAAATAAGCTTAGTGAAGATACCAACTGTTACTAAAATTTTTAAGAACATTTACAAACATGTGGTATAAAAACAGGCATTTCTTAAAATACTAAGTTCAGAAAAATGTGTGGGACTTCCACCACTTAACATTGAAATTGGAAAGAAGATTTAATAAATGAATAAAAGAACTTAATTAGCCAACTTTAACTGTTAATACTTTTGTTAGGGGGAAACTCGAAAAAATATATATTTGTTTAAATATAAATAAAAATATCTGAATTTGACTGCTAGTAAGGAAAGAGCCTTCATAACTAGTCGTAGTATTACAATAAAACACTGTTGAAATTAGGGATGTACTGGAATTTGCAACTTTTAGGTCATTCCAGTTCCAGCCGCAATTACAATATTTCATGGCAAAAAATTTTTTTACCTTTTTTTACAGACTAAAAATTAAATCAAAAAATCATTATTCTACAGGGCAATGATTTTTTGATGATAAAATGAATGAATCTTTTTTTAAAAAAATGCATTTATATAATTGTTACACACATTTAAATTGAGTTTATTCTATTGAAATATAAACAATCTTAAAAAAACTTTTTTTTTTTGAAATTCCTTATTAATAAAGGGGGGGGGGGGGTCCATAATCATCTTTTTTTAGATTTTTATAGTTAAACCAATTTTTCTTAATTAGTTTTTCATGCTGATTCTGAAAATCATCATTTTTTTTCATTTTAATTATTTAGCCTTCTACTTCAATTTTAATAAAAATGAATATATTGACAAAAAAAGGCATTGTTAAAAATAGATGAAATTATTATCATTAAATATAAGAAAAGTAGAAAACTAGAAATCTTTTTCTGTTTAATTTATCAATAATATACCTTATCATTTAAAAGTAACAAAAAAAATTAAGCATTATACATGAAAATAATTCACACAGTTTGTTATTTACTATTGAAAATGGAAAATAACTATAAAAGTCAGGGAACTTTCCATATAGAACATCTAGGTTATGAGCATGTTCTTTGGTAGACATAATATGGAGGTTTGTATTTTTATATCAACAACAATGTATTAAAACAGAAAAGACCTCTGTGACAATGATCTACATTGTATCCCTAAAATAAAGAACCTCATTTTTCAAACTTTTTTTTCATTTTAACATATCTTTATCTACTTCAATAATGTCTAGTTCACAGCTAAATGGGCTGCCTTGTAACTTTAATCAAGCTAAAATAGAACTCATCTTGCACACCTGATGTAAAGTTTGCTGCTCTTCCATTTTTATCCATTTGTTTTTGTAGCTGGTTACAACTATATTCCATAGTTTCAACTTTTTTGACAAATAAATGGACAATAATTCTCCAAAATATTTTTAAACTACGCGAACCTTCATTTTTTATATGGTTTAAATAATTAAGTATACATCTACTGTTGAAATTAAATGGGTTTTTTCCAAAGTTTTCCAACTACAACAACTTAATTAGAAAGTTAATACTAATCATATTCCATTATCAACCAAACAGATAATACTTTTCTCATATAAATTAATTAAGAATAACTGGTTAAACAAGAAATATAGAATTTTGGACCCCCCCCCCCCTATTATTAGCTCAGTAAAACTAGCAAAAAAAGTCATGTTACCTAGAAAAAATTAGAAGCAAGCTGAAAATTGCTAGAAATGTTCAGCATGCACCCCTTATTAATTTTGGATAAAATCGGCCAAATTCAGGCTGGAGCTTTGTCTGAAATCTAAGATGGCGTCCAAAATGATATTTGTAATATCTCTGTCTGTAGATGATTAAGAAATATGATTCTTGCATCTAGTTTTATGTTTTTGAGGTCAAGAAATTCATTTTTTGACATTTTTAATTTTGAGCTAAACAGCTAAAACATGGCGGCCAAAAAAAATTCTAAAATTAATACACTTTACGCATATGCTTTTTAATACACTTACAATGTTGTGAGCTCATATTCATTTGAAATTAGAAATTATTTGTTTTATTATTATGTTACATTTGTTATATATTGAATTTAATGTAGAAGATTTGATGTAGCAAATTTTAACTGTTTAATGAGTGAAGTTTGTTCTCTGATGAACTCTACGTTTTTAAACTGAAATCTAAATTAAGTTAATTTGTAAAAATCATATTAAATACAATTGTGAAGAATTTATTCTTGTTTCTCAGTGACACTAAAGAAACTACTTCTCTTTCAACTTATTATATTTCTCATCAACTGACTGTGAACCTGAAAACTAATTACAACGTAAACTATATAATAATGTCACTTCCAATGCGACTTAGAACACACAGCTCATAGCATACTAATAAGTTATTATTTCTCAACTGTAATTCTTTTGAGGCTTCAAACGCACGTATATAAAGTTATTGTTGCAACATAAACTACTAATTACTTATTTATATTTACAACAGATATTGTTGCTTAAGTCCAGAATGTCTCCAGAAGAATACTCAAAATTTACCAAAGTTAATCTAGTACAGAATACGTGGTATTGCCAATCATTGATTTACTTCATATATTAGAGATCGCACTAAGTTTGTTTCACTAAGTTTGTGGATTTGAATCCACACCTAAAGTTATTAAATATGGTGTTCCACAAGGTTCCGTTCTTAGACCGCTATTGTTTTTATTATATATAAATGATTTATCTTGTTCATTAAATAATTCCAAGGTACATAATTATGCTGATGATTAAGGGTCTGCATCTGCTCGTATTCTCTCGGAAGTTCGGCATGAAACGGTAAAAAATGCGAGTATTCGTTTCGTTCCGTTTTTACGAAACAAAAAATATCATTTTGTTTTGTATCGCATTTATACGAAACACGTAAATCTTGTTTCATTTCGTATCATGTTGTTAAGAAACGTGAAATTATTTTTTCGATTTGTACCGTTATTTACGAAACACAATAAAATTGTTTCGTTTCTTATCGGTTTTTACGGAATATTTCATAACTCCCCGCCCAAACAGATATTTCACGATTCCCATGCCCTCGAGCAATACATAAACTTTTACGTTTAATACTTACTAACTCAATGTTTCGTAAATCAAAGTTTAACTAAAAAAAATGTATTAACAAAGCAATGCAATAGCATCATTTTCATAAGGCTTAGCGCATCTAACGAAGTTAAAAAAAGATATTGTCTTCTGTAGGTAGGTTTTAGTAAAACTGATGAACTTAAAGTTAAAATTTTATTACAGTAAAACCGTTTTACTGTAATAAAATTTTAACTTTAAGTTCATCAGACATCAGGGTTGGAAAAAACCCAGGGTTTTTTAAAAAAACCCAACCAAAATGGGTTTTTTTGGGTTTTTTGGGTTTTTTTAAAAATCGATCAAAATACCAAATTTTTATAATTTGTATGAGTACAATAATTTTTTTTTTTTAATTTTATAAATTCACCTCCCTATTGCTCCAATGACCATTTCAGTCAAGGGAGCAACTCATTTTTTAAAAATATTTTTTCTCAATCCTTAACATTACCATTTTTACTAACAAACAACATTAACAACTAAAATTTTTAAACAAAGGCGCTGTGTGGAGAAATAGATTGAGACAGTAATTTCAGCAGAGGTAATTTGAACCCCAACCTTCTGGTTGTGAGCCAAATGTTTTGCTACTAGTCTACTAGCACATTTTACCTATAGTGCAAAAAGGGGCTCCATCAACTATAAATGATGTTAATTAATTGCTCTAAATTAAAAACATGTTCAGAATATTTTTGACTAAAATAAAATCAGTGTAAAAATCATGACAATTGAGTTATTCAAAGTTGGTAAGACAATATAAATGTTGCAAACTAGTTTTTTTTACTAACATGTTCAACATATCATTTCAAAAACTACTTCGCACAAGTTTACAACGTGTAATCAACAAGTTTGCAACATGATGTTGCAACCTTATAAGTTATTATCAATCAGGATGACTATGAACACTTTTTAAACATTTTTGTATCATAGAAGAAAACTGCTAGCCTAATCACTACATTTTTTTTTATCAGAACATTATACTGTCCAGCTTCCTGGAAAAGTTATCGGCCTGATCAACTGGACTGACAAAAAATGGATTTTTGCCTAAACTTTGTTTCTAAATATATATAAAGTAAATTTTTTATGAACCATACAGTGTCTTCGCCACCAAGTTTTTTTTTTTTCCTTGAAGATGTTTTACCGGCTCAGTTTTGCAATGCAAATTGCAAACTGAATCAAAGTAACACATTATATAGCTCTATTGTGTGTGTGTTTCTTCACCTTTTAGCATCTTGATACTGATGTTAATTTTTAATCCACCGTTCATAGTCACCCCTGTTGGTGGTACATGTTGTAAACTTGTAGCTGATGCAAAATATTAAAAACCTGTCAAAAGACAGATGAGCACGAGTGTCATTTTTACCAACAAATCTTGTCCTTGTGAAATGCATACAAGTTTTCAACATGTTCTCTCATTGAATGAGCAAACATGTTGCAAGCTTGCTTTCACATAACTTAATTTTTTTTTTAAGTTTTAAAGT